ATACAGCTCTCATGTCCAAACAAAGCAACCTCAAGTGAGAGTGCACTGTGAGGGTTTTTTGTTAAAAAAAAAGGTTAAATGCTTTGTTTTTGATGTAGTTTGATTGTTTCTTTGTGTTTTTTTTTTTGCAGCAGGAACATATTGAGCAAGAAAACTTTGTGCAAGAGGATATTTCGTATAGGGAGGAATTAAATAGTCTGGTGAAAGTTTATCTTGCCAGTGTATGAGACCATCAGTTTGGGAAAAAGTGAGCGAGCCTTCTTTCATTTTTCCAAGAATCAGGCTGTTCTTTGCGTTTTAATTTTTTTTTCATGTCAAAGAAATATGGTTATATGTAGCCTTCAATTCAATTTCTGCTTTTTGAAAAGTAAATATTCCAGTAGCAACTGCAATTTTATATGGAGAATTTTGAGCTTTGAAGGAAGGTCGATTAACTTTAAATCTGATCATAGCAGACCAGTACAATTCATAGATTCTGTGTATTACTAAGAAGCTGCGTTTCCCAAGTGCAAAAGACTATTCTTTGTGAACAGGTAGCGTATATTATAGACTGATATAAATATAGAGAGGCTTTGTCCGTGGATTGTGAGGAATTCTCATTGCTTATTTGGTCCTGGCTTTTAGAATTTACGAGAAAATAAACGGTGGCAGCGTTATATAACGGGATGCTGGATGACTCCACTATGGTTACGGCTCCTGTTTTCTTTCCTTTGAGTAATTTCATTGCCGAATCAGGGGACAAAAGGTTATTCCCCACTGAGTCCCACCTTCACCCCTCCGCTCCATATGTATCTTCTTCCAAATAAACGAGTGCAGTTCCTAAGATCACATTCTGCAGCGGCAGGTTAAGCGTCCGTATCTACGGTCTTTTTCTTTCGAGCGAATTTTTTCTTGGTTATTCCGTGATTTCTCTTTTTTCCATAAAAATTGTGCATAAACACGATCTTATCTGTGCACGCGATTAGATCTGCATTCGATACATGTCCACAGGAAACGGTGTCTGCGAGAACGAAAGGAAGGACTTTAATGAATTGCCTGATTAAAACTCCAAATCCACCGCAGATTCTTCAGATTCTACTGGTCTGCTGCAGTCCGTATCTATTAATGGTTATTTGACTTTCCTCCGAATTTCAAAACCAACGAAACGTTTGGTAAATTAGGGTGAATGAATATATAAATTTTCTTACCAATGTTCCGGTTGTGTGACTGCAGGCAGCCCAGTCCGCGCGCGGTCAAGTTTTGCGCCTTTATGGTCGCGTGACCATTATACTTTTATTTACTAGCGCGATCGTAAAGTTTAGCATGCCTTTACGTTCTTTTCGCGTTCCTCAGGCTGAACAAGGTAAAGAACTGTATTTTCATATCTTTAGTCAATTAGTTTCTGTACTGCACTTCATTTCGAATTATATTGCTACGTTCATTTCTTAAGTAGCGTCGTTCGACAAACATTCGCATTAAGTCATCAGTGTACTTTTGCCATTAATTTTCAGTTTTATTGCCTCCGTTTGAATTCAGTAAAGTCCACCAGCCATAACTACAATGTTTCACTTAATCTATGTAGTTAGAGGTTGTAATGAGTGTAAAAGACGTTTGGCCTGTGGCCTGGAGTTTTAAATCAAGGGTAGTAGTAGAAGGTGCTCAAGACGGTGAAAAGGCCGAGTAACGTTAATGTTTAGCAGAGTCATTGTTTTGGTTTTACTCTATGATCTCGCCATTGGAGGAATGCGTTCGTTTTATCATAATCTCTTTTGCAATAATAAATGGGACAAATAATATGATATTGTTTGTGTTGATTTTTGCGATGTATTAGCTTTTATATCACAATATTTCCAAATGATAGCGATCGTGCGTTACCACATCAGACATTGATATAACTAAGGTCAAAGCTGAGGCAGTGAAATTCTGTACACATATCAGATTCTTTCTTGCGTCTGATGCACCATCACTAAATAAGCGTAACGAACTCGTATCTTCATGCCGACACAGAAACAAAGCGTTGCTACGCAACAACTGAACTTTAAAGTTTTTAAGTTTACCGCACATTATGCAAATTTTCCTAGTATATAAACGATAGTCACATGAATATTCTTTCATTAAACCCCTGAAGAGTGAAGCGATTCACGAAACAGGCTTGTCGGGAAATGTAGTTACGTCCTTTTTTCCTCTCATAATATTTATTCTGCTCTGCTTCAACGTATTGAGCACTGTTCCACGCGAAAATCGACTTACAGACTTCCTATATATATATATATATATATATATATATATAACTAACTGCAGATATATATATATATATATATATATAATTTTACCTCAAGATATAGGTTACTTGAACTTTTACTGCAACTCTGAGTTTCATGCCTCATGCGAAGCAATCGTCAGGCAACTACCAGAAATAAAAACTTGAGTTATAAGTCCTGAGGTATAATTATCCATAGCTGTAGCCCTGCTATTGAGCACTTTTTAGTAGATGATGATCTCATTCCCCTATTTTGGTTATATATATATATATACAGCTCTCATGTCCAAATTAAGCACTCTCAAGTGAGAGTGCACTGTGAGGGTTTTTTGTTAAAAAAAGGTTAAATGTTTTGTTTTTGATGTAGTTTGATTGTTTCTTTGTGTTTTTTTTTTTGCAGCAGGAACATATTGAGCAAGAAAATTTTGTGCAAGAGGATATTTCTTATAGGGAGGAATTAAATAGTCTAGTGAAAGTTTATCTTGCCAGTGTATGGGACCATCAGATTGGCAAAAAGTGAGCGAGCCTTCTTTCATTTTTCCAAGAATCAGGCTGTTCTTAGCGTTTTAATTTTTTTTTCATGTCAAAGAAATATGGTTATATGTAGCCTTCAATTCAATTTCTGCTTTTTGACAAGTAAATATTCCAGTAGGAACTGCAATTTATATAGAAAATTTTGAGCTTTGAAGGAAGGTCGATTAACTTTAAATCTGATAATAGCAGACCAGTACAATTCATAGATTCTGTGTATTACAAAGAAGCTGCGTTTCCCAAGTGCAAAAGACTATTCTTTGTGAACAGGTAGCGTATATTATAAACTGATATAAATATAGAGAGGCTTTGTCCGTGGATTGTGAGGAATTCTCATTGCTTATTTGGCCCTAGCTTCTAGAATTTACGAGAAAATAAACGGTGGCAGCGTTATATAACGGGATGCTGGATGACTCCACTATGCTTACGGCTCCTGTTTTCTTTCCTTTGAGTAATTTCATTGCCGAATCAGGGGACAAAAGATTATTCCCCACTGAGTCCCACCTTCACCCCTCTGTTCCATATGTATCTTCTTCCAAATAAACGATTGCAGTTCCTAAGATCACATTCTGCAGCGGCAGGTGAAGCGTCCGTATCTACGGTCTTTTTCTGGTTATTCCGTGATTTCTCTTTTTTCCATAGAAATTGTGCATAAACATGATCTTATCTGCGCACGCGATTAGATCTGCATTCGATACATGTCCACAGGAAACAGTGTCTGCGAGAACGAAAGGAAGGACTTTAATGAATTGCCTGATTAAAATTCCAAATCCACCGCAGATTCTTCAGATTCTACTGGTCTGCTGCAGTCCGTATCTATTAATGGTTATTTGACTTTCCTCCAAATTTCAAAACCAACGAAACGTTTGGTAAATTAGGGTGAATGAATATATAAATTTTCTTACCAATGTTCGGGTTGCGTGACTGCAGGCAGCCCAGTCCGCGCGCGGTCAAGTTTTGCGCCATTATGGTTGCGTGACCATTATACTTTTATTTATTAGCGCGGTCGTAAAGTTTAGCATGCCTTTAC